TTTGGTCAAAAAGAGTTGTCGGATTGCCCCCATCTGCTCTATTAACTTGGAAATACTGTATATGCAGACGGCACAAAGCCACAGCTGCTGGTTTATGATGAGTCACTGCGTCAGATTCAGTATATGTTAAGTTTCAACTGGCCGTGTATGATCGCTCAATGGGCTTCCTGAATTGGTATCTCGGATTTTTAATATTTGGCAGAGTGGGTGTTGCCAACTACCAAGTGAGCAGATTGGATCCTGGACAGGCAGGAGTGGATAGGTGGCTGGGGGTGGGGGGGCTTGGTTTAAGAACTTCAGCAGTTCATGGGGGTGGGGAGTCTGCTTGGGTGCAAAGTCATTTTGAGGGGGAAGAGGGGATGTGGTTTGTTGGGTAGTGGGGGGCCTGAGGCATGCCAGGCATTACATGCCGTCTAAAATTAGCAGCAGCTGTCTACTGGACATTCTGGCGTGTGTGTGTGTGTTTCTGTGTGTGTGTGTGTGTGTGTGTGTGTGTGTGTGTGTGTGTGTGTGTGTGTGTGTGTGTAAATTGAGTGGGGTTAGGCTTCACAGAGACAGGGGAGGCTGGAATGCAGTTCTAGTAGGCACTACTGGTTGAAAAATTATTTTCATGACATTTGAGCTTAGTTGGATAGTAAACAATGAGTGACAGCACAAACAAATACTGTCACTCTGGTTTGCCAATAGCAGTGGCATTGTTCGTCATCTCACGAGACCGCCATCGGGAGACATTAAAAAAAATGGTACGGCATTTGTTTATCTGTCTGTATGTCCATGTGAATGCAGAGGTATGCACACTCGTGTCTCTCCTCAATATGGACATGATGAGTATAGTCACCAGTTGCTGCTATCACATGACAACTGCATGCAAGACATTTCAACGATGTGCTAAGTTCGCATATTGTGACACCAACATTGGTTAATGAGTTAGCAGGTTAGCGTTCTGTTCATTCTAGACATAACAAATTAGCATTGTCTGAGGACGTTCATATAGTCGCCACTAATGGGTAAATGAACAGTTTCATTGATTTGGATGATTTTCAGTTCATCATTACCAAAATAGACCTTTTTCACAGCAGCCATACTGACATGAAATTGGAGGGTAAATACACGTGTTTCAAATGATACTAGGTTATGTTCCATTCAGGACAACCAGAGTCAGGGTGCTGCTATTGGGCAGGTTGGCTCACTGGAAAGGCTGTGCTACGCTAAATGGAACAGAACCTTAATTAGTATCATGTGTACTGTGTTTACCCAACTATTTCATGTCAAAATGCCTTCTGTTAAAAAGGGCTATTGTTAGATGACTTCTTTCAGCGCTAAATCTATACACATTCACATTGTAAGCATTACCTCCTTGTTTACACTATTATCGGAAGATCTTACAAGCTCAGTAAGTGCTGAATCAAACCCATGACATTAAACCGCTGGTCCATTTCAGTCCCTGTTCTCTAAGTGTTCAGGTATGGCTAACCAGCAGATTGGAAGATGATCTTCACTGTGAGATGTCTCTGCTGGGTGTGTTGGCATGTGCAGAATGTGACCCATCAGATCTGTAGCTTGCTCGTGTTCACAGGGCTTTACACCAACAGAACTTTGAAGCGTAACGGAGTTACATCACTGTTTTACCACATTATAATCACGTCTGCATGACCTCATTCCGGGTGGGTGAACTATGTCTATCAGTGGTGCAGCAGGCTGTTTATAGGCAGGAGTGTATTCACATTTAAGTGATGTGCATGTGTTTATGTACACATTCTGACACTATTCAGTCAGTATATGGGCCTTTTATCTCATCCTGGCTATTTGAAATCTGGTGGGCTTGGAACCTTGAATACCTGCTTGCAAATCAGGCTGTGTTCGTTCATACATCAGTATGTTGGACAACATTATGCAAACTACTACTTCAGGAAACAACCCAAAAACAGAGGGGTTTAGGGTTAAAAGAGACATCAGACATTGACTTTTAGCCTCTTAAATTCTGTCATTTCCAGTAAGAACACCACAGAAGAAGAGCGAAAGTTCATCACACTGTTTATCAGATACTGTAAGTCCTCTCCACTGCCAAAATGTTCAACCCTGTAGGACGAGAGGTTACCGAGTTCGTCCAAGTCCATGAGACTTTTGGTTGACTTGTATTCTCCAGCGGGGCTTACCCATTTTAAATATCAAACACAGAATTCTGTATTAGTGTCCAACTTCTTGGATGGTGTCAGCAGTAGTGGGAAAAGTGATGTCCCTTGTGTCAGTGCTCAGCAGCAAGCCAAGTGGGGCCAAACACTCTGTGAGTCAGAGTGTGGGAAGTCATGAGTGTGTCACCAAGAATGTCAACATATTTTCCTGAGGAGGAGGATGTGTTCTCTGAGAGGAGCAGGGCCTGGGGTCTCTCTCTTGTTCATTCAACTGCACAAGGCTACGGATTACTTTCATCTTTTAATTAACTTATCCGTTTCTGTTCTCGCAGACGGTGACTATCCCTCTGCCTCGGCAGTTATTACCTGCAATGTATGTGTGCTTGGATGAACAGTATTTGATTGGCCCGAGCAGTGTGTAGTAAGATTATGTTGCAGTGCCTTGCAGAAAAAAGTAAAGTCACTGTCAGCTATTTTTTTTGTGCCCTCCTTTTGTTTTGTTTGTTCTGCGGCGGTCACCCCCACTGCATCGCCTCATGAAATGAATGAACAGTCTGTGTTATTTGCCGCAGAGCCATAATCAGCCTCAGAGAGCCTTTAGCCACAATATAAACTGTTACGTTTAGTGTACAGTACTGTGTTTTAAGCAGAGGATTGCTGTGGACGGGAATGCCCATTCTATACATGTACATTATTTCTGGAATATGATGGAAACCAAATGGCACAATCAATTTGACATCTGCAGATGAAAGACGTTTTTTTTTTTTTTTTTTCATCTGCAGATGTCAAACATATGTCTGTGTGCATTTATGTACAGTCAAGGATTCTCTGACAGAATACACACACCTTGCCAGAGTACTGTTGTATTTTGAGAACATATTAGTGTGTGTGTGTGTGTGTGTGTGTGTGTGTGTGTGTGTGTGTGTGTGTGTGTGTGTGTGTGTGTGTGTGTGTGTGTGTGTGTGTGTGTGTGTGTTGCCCATTCCCCAGCCACATGTCCTTACCAGTCCTTGACATCTGGTGACCATACCTCTTCTCTGGCTCTGTGACTGTACTTCACAAGCCATGGGAACTGCTGCTGTGTAGGTTGCTGCGGTGTGGTGTGTGTGTGTGTGTGTACATACAGGAGTGGGTGTGTGTATATGACGGGAGAGAGCGAGAGAGATGACCTCAGGTTTAGTACACTTTTTTTCAAAGTCTGTGTGCAGCTTTGTGATGCGGGGTTTGTAATGATCCTTGTTTCCAGATTTTTTTAAGAACAAGAAGTTCAGTTTAACTATATTTTTACTCAGTTTGTGTTCCGATGCATGCTAAGCTCACCTTATTCTGAATACAAGTCCAGCAACCTAAGTGACCCCCATGCTAGACCCTTATATCCTGTCACTTCTCTACTGTGTGTAATAAAGGCTTAAAAATGTTCAAAACAATACTCTAAATGACTAAATAGATTGTTTAAGTGTCTACAGCTACTACATTACAGTCACAGAGAGATTGCTGCCATTATTTACTGTTAGTGGGTGCAGAGCTGTCTCCGGCATCCAAGTCAGATGATGACTTGTATGACCAACCTTCCACCCCAGCTTCCGGCCCAGGACACTTGCCAGCGTCGCTTGTCAGGAAAATGCAAAGATAAATCATACTCAATGGGTAAATGAGTCATTTTTCTGATGAGGACAAGTGTCTTCTGGTAAAAAGTGGAGAAAATGGTGGTGACGGTGCTGATTTTAATGCAGATGAGTTATGGTCCTTTGAAGAAACAGAAATACAACTAGTAGTGTAACAACAACTTACATTGGGAATAGAATTTTATACACGTCCTTCAATCTAATTTTTTATTCAGTTTTCTCCTGTTTTCTGATACTTGAACAACTTGAACTATTCAATTATCTTATATTTTTCTTCAGTGTAATTTTGTTTAGCTCTGCCCTTTCCATTTTTCTACTCTATCCAGTTCTCTTGTTTCTATTCTGTGTCACTCAGCTTAACTCCCTTTGAGAGATTATCCAAGGTTTATTCGCATTTTGGGGTTTTCCCTAATGGTTATATTTAGCCGACAGGAAACGTCCCAGAAATCCTTGTTCTGCTCCCACTGACAGAGTGAGAGAGAGACAGACAGAGAGAGAGAGAGAGAGATAAAGCCACATACACATCTACAGTATCTCATGCCCTTCAGCCCCAAGCAGAGTTGTACTGGGATCAGCTTTGTTTATATTCCCATGCATATAGTGACCTCCACATTGCCTCAGTACGTTTTTATTCAGTTTCAAACCTCCCACTCACCGTCCGCCCAGCCCAGCCTCCAAACGTCAGCCTCATTCATCTCCACATGAAGTTAAGGATTGTTCTCCCCACTCCAGGTTCAATCTCTGCGCCATTTGGAGGCTTCAAGGCCTAATCCCTCCCCTCCACATAGCCTGTAGACCCTGACCCCTCTCAGCCCTAAGCCCTGACCTCCGACCCCTCTGATACTTCACTTCCTCCCTGCGTACGCCCGAGCATCATTTTTTTCCCCCCATCTGTCCAGAATGAGAAGTCGAATGGTACAGATGGAGTCAGTGGAGTGGGGATTTGCTGTTACACTAATGAGATCAATTTAAACTGAGTTGGACACTGTGCTGCATAAGAGGCCATTAAGTCTCTGCTCACATTTAAATTGAATGTATGAAAACCTAAATTGCCCCAAAGGGATCTTATCTTGATGAGCATTAACATTAAAACACTCAATCAATACAACAGTACCCTTAAATAAAAAAAGAAAACTATTGAAGCGACTGAGAGACGCAGAGCAGTCAAACTTTTAAATGACCTGTTCTGAGTGGAGATTTCATTTTCCTGTCTTGTGTGTGGTTTTATTTTTTTGTGTCCCAGGAGAAGCGAAAACGGCAAACTGAGATTGAAGACAAAAGAAGCCAGCTCGATGACCTGGTGCTACAACTACAGCATCTCAAGGTTGGTGTGTGTTACAGTATATTTAAAACATGGGGGTGCTGCTGCTGCTGCTGCTGCTGAAATTACAGCCGGTCCATCTACAATCTGTTTTCATTCAGTGTCCCCAACTTACTCGGTGCAGGTAACCTGTTTACACATGGCTTCTAATTTTGTCAGGCTACTCATTCCTAGCACATGCCGCCATATAAATATATGTCTCATATTAAAAAAAACCCCAGAAATGATATCATCACAGCTATGACTGTGATCGTAATTTAACTTTTCATTTGCAGTTTTGACAATGTTGCAAAGCCAATGTGAAGGTTTTTGATCCAATCAATTATATACTATCATACTAAGAAAAATACCGAAAAGTGGAAGAAGAATGTTAAATCGTTGTCATATTGATGTCACTCAGCAATGTCAGAACAAGTGCAATGCCAAAGACATTGTGCTGCACATTGTAAAGATTATATAAAAGAGCTACTGTTTATGCTGGGATATATGAAAAAATCCCTGCATTATGATGTACTTATCGACCGCTCTGACTACTTGTGTTATTTACAGCCGTATAGTCACTGCCTGAATATGTGATAACCTGTAACCGTTTGGTCTCAAATTTGCAGAGGTCTGGGTTACAGTACGCATACGTGTAACAGTTTAAGGTTAGATATTGAGTTCAGGGTTGGATTAGAATGAGCTCAGTGTAAAGGTGAAGGTAAGGTAGAGAGTTCAGGTTAGGGTTAGAAGTTAACAGATGAATTTAGTCAATTATGATCACAAGAAAGCTTTACAAATGTGTGTGTATGACACCCATTTATCTTAATCTACTCAGTCCCTCTTTTTTTTCCTAAACATAGTTGTAACCTTGACCCTAAATGTCATAGAGCGATAAAGAGACAGTGTGCTCTTTATGTGCCTTTACAGTTTTGTTCCAGGCCTGCATGCCCGTTTTACAAATACGTGCGTCAGTTTAATTATTTGAACGGGCAGATAAATGTGTTAGTCAGTTTCTGGCTGACAGGTAGTGGTTCATTCCATCCAAACATCCAAATCTCAGTGCTCCTGGTGTGCAGGCCTTGGCCAAGCAGGGCAGGCCTGGCTGTTTTCTTCTTTCCAGAAAAACAACTCAAATCCAAACACACATAAACATATCCCTTAATAATTACTGCCAGCCGCTACTGGTAAGCCAAGATTTTCTTTCAAGTAAACACTGATTTGAGGTCCAAATAGCAAGTGCTGCGTAAACGGAGACACAAACTGCTGACAGATTGTGAGGTTGAGAAAAATGAACAGGCTTTCAGGCATCAGTTAATTTATGTGGGGTTCTTGAACCTTTCAACCAATGAGAAACGATTCCCTTGACCTCGCACACAAGCTCAGAAGAACACACAGCCAGCCCTGTCAGGTGGACACACACCAGATAAAGGCATCCTATACATTTTGAAGATTAATTCACCATGTGACGCAATTCCCTTAAAATACATTCTGCCAAATATTATGACCTTAAAGACTTTGATTTCGGTTTTCTTGTCATATTTTTTGAGTTTCATTATGTTAAATAATGTGCAGTATAATTCGTGAACTGACTGAGTTGCACTTTCCGCACACGGATGGCTAAGAGGAATTGTTTGGAAAATCCTGCAGCCCTAAATGCTGCACAGATGCAGGGTGGGTGGGGAAACGGCTGTAGGCGCCCATTAATACTACAAATATCTGTGGTAGCCAGTTTTAATATTTGCAATAAAAATACATTCCATTCTCTAATTACAGCCTTTAAACACACTTGGCATGAACGATTCCTTTATTAAATAGGTTTGATTCCTACATGCCGGTGTTTCCCAGCATTTAACACCCACTTACGGAAATATCAACCAAACAGGAACATTGATTAAAGCCATGTGCACTTTGTGTATTTGGCCATTAAGGCAATGAGTTTAAGGCAGTACAACCATTAATGAAGCTATCGCACACGTGTTTGATCGCAGTCTTGAGTCTCATTCTGCAGTCTCAGCCCGGCTGCAAAACACACATTAAAACTAATCTAAGCTTTACTGGTCACTGTAGTGTAACTGACCCAGCACCTCATATGATCTATTTGACTTGGTACATATAATTTAAACATATTGTTGTGTGTGTCCTGAATGTAATGCTGATGCAATAAATTCTGCCAGAGTTTGCTTTGCTTTGCTTTACTCTGCATGGAAAGTAATAATAATAACAAAGTACATATTATATCAACAGCTGACATTTCAGACTACTCCAGTAACAACACTTTAGACTACTAGCTTGTGTTGTTTTATTCAATCAGTGCTGCATTGCAAAACCCCCAGGGAAGTCAGCCTACTGTAATTACACGCAGAATGTTTATACACATGAATGCCTGTTTTCTTTCTCTCTATCACTGGCTGTTAATAATTCAGCCAATATCCGGGTCTCAAAAGCTTATTCGCTGCTTTTAAATGCATTTTATGCCTCCATTACATAACTGGCAGTAGAGAGATGGGAGGAATTTAGGGGAGAGAGATGGGGTCTCCCTCCGGATACAGGTTATATTTCAAGACATTGGCAATGTCTTGAAATATACATGTCACATTGCTGATCATATAGTGCCATGATCAATGGTAGCTCCTTCCGACTGCACAGGAAATGATGCAACCTACTTTACTAGTTTTTATCAAGCCACCACAGGTGAAGAAGGGAAGACTACATGCAGATCTCAAACTCAAAAGTCTGAAAGAGGAACACCTCCAGTTATCATAGATATGTGAGATGACCTGCGTATTTATTTCCTGTACTTTCCATGCTCCCCAGAGAAAAATAAAACGAAGGGTGTAGAACAGTTATCATCCAAATCCGCACTAACCCAAATATGTTAGCGCTTTGCTCTATCCTCCACTGAGCTAAACAGGGAATTGAGCCTACAGTGCCTGTGTACTGCTCTGTTGAGTTGTCTTGCATACAACACCAGTAGGCTTGAACTCCAGATGTTATCAGCATCTGGTCACAAAGTCCCATTTAATGGCCATTACCTCTGAGTGCCACACAGCCAGGCAGCATGAAGCAGGCTTTGTAGTCCACTCTCCAGAGACGTCGTGGCCTGGGAGAGGAAATGGAGACTGGAGCCCAGAGATTTGATAAGGGCCTCTTGGCTGCATGATTCAAGCCTCTCAGAATGGAGGTGTTGATCTGAGTCTGGTAGCTTTGTTTGGTCACTTCTAAATTGGTTATTTCAGTTTATGATGAATAGCATAGACCGTCTAAACAGCCCCAAACCTTCCCTTCAGCTCAGGGTGGTTGTGTGTCAGAGCGCAACAGGAAGTGGAAAGTCTATTAAACAGCGTGAGAGAGAGCAGAGAGCAGGCTGGTTCTCAGAGGAACGTACTGGTCACTTATCTTACACAACTTTATATCTCCCTGTTTTGTTGACAGCTGACATGGTCCAGAAAACTTACATACTCAAAATACATTTTTGCTACAGTAGTTGATAAAATTCCAAAGGGAGGTCAGAGGTCAAGGTCGGCTACGGGCCAGCATCTTCCTCGGGTTAAGTGATTGTTTCTTTGCCTCACATACAAAATATTGCTCTGATCTTTATTTGCCAACTGTGTTGAAATCAATGAAACGAGGTGGTGGAAACACTACAGTTTTTGTGCCCACCAGAATCAACACAAAATGAAAGTTCCTTCTCAACAGCGAGCAACAACAGGTTAAAGGTACACACAATGATTTGGCAGTGTACAGAAGAGCAATGAGCAATCTCAAAATATACAAAAGAAAAGGTGTGATGGGAAACACTAACTCTTGTGAACTACAAACATCTGAAGATATTTCAGTTTTATTGATGTTTACATTTCAATTCACAGGTTAAGTTAGATTTTGGGACAGCATATCCGTTCAGTTTGGTTGACAAATGAGTTTGCTTGATGTGAGGTTAGACACAAACAAACAAACAGCCCCGCTGCCACATTCTGACAGCAGGTGGTAAAATGCTTTGGAATCATTTCTGTAGAGTTCATTGTGTGCTGTGCGTCTGAGTGCGTTTGTGAATGTGGAGGCCCACATACTGTTAATTGTCAGCTCTACGACCTAGAGCCAAGCCACGGTTTTGACAGTAAACAGCCAAAGGTGAAGCTAAGTGCTCGACTCTGTTGTGGTAACAAAACAGAGTTCCAGACAGAGATGAGGCATTAGGGGCATAAACACACAGCTCTGGCATTCATCTTAGTAGTTACTCCTGTGTGATGAGATGATTTGTACTTTCACCCCTGTTGGTGCAGATCCAATGCGAGGCCTAATGTACATCTCATTAACAAACTTAAGTGACTACATCGGACATCAACATGTCATGGAGACAAAGCAAACACAGAGACAGGATAATTTCATCAGTTTGGTTAAACGTCAATGGGCAGAGCCAAATTGCCAGTTTCACTGGATTATTAACATCAGAAGGCCATTGAAACAAGAAAGAGGTACTATAAGAGAGGAGAACTCTTACATTATACTTCATCCATATTGATGTGTCTTCAGGCAGCAGCTGGATAGCAGATATACTTTTTGTGGAATGTTTGTGTAACAGAAACTGCAATCTGTCTCATCACACAGCAGTGAAATGATCAAAGAGCATAAAGCTCACATACAAGAATCTAGTTCTCTAAATTATAATAGGAACGCACAAATGTCCCAAATGAAAGCACAAGGCAAATTGTTTGGAATTTGAGGAAAACATATTTGTTAAAGTTCACAGAAAACGTTCAGGAATGAAGAAAAACAGACTTGTTTGTGGATGAGCAAAACCAACAAAGTGTGTGTGTGTGTGTGTGTGTGTGTGTGTATTATATATATGTATTATTATATATGATGAGGAATAATTACTGTAGTTCTGTTAGCCTGATGGGATTCACAAAGGGTGTTTTCCTGTGAGTAACAGCAGAGTTTAGAGTCTCTCTGTGTTATCTGCGTGCATGTGTGGGCCTACGTGTTTATTTGTTTGTTGTAGCTGTGCTTGGCAGTCGTCTTACAAATCTGTCTCAAATTAGTCTCCATAATGCAAGTCCACTGGCTGTTAATAATGTCTAAGAATATCACAACCAGGCTAGAGTGGAAGAGTGTTATGGAGATCTACCTGACTATTGCTACTGCTGTGTTTTGATGAGGGGGTCCCCGTTTTGTCTGTATGTTGTGCATGTACACAAAGACACTGATGCACCGCTGCAAGCATGAAGGAGGGGTGATACGTGCCAGTTTCATGCAATTAAACTGCAACTGTTCAACACCAACACAGTTTGTGGTGGCAGATCCAAAGGCAGGGAAGAAAATGTATTTAAGGATGTACACGGTGTGTTTTGATGAGAAACTGTGAATGCAAACATAACTTAGCTTGTTTCCAAGAAATCTCCACAAGGCACCTTTAACCCGAGCATTCACTAGCTGACTAGCCAGCGAGGGAAAATCTAAGTCAGAAACTTGAATTGATCATGTCTGATTAATCCCGTTGAGATGGAAAAGTTGTACATTTAAAAACATGATCGGTTTGTGACATTCACAGTTGACTTCATCACCTAAAATAACGTGTCTCCGTTCCCTCCTCAGTCCAAAGCCATGCGTGAGCGATGGCTCCTCCAAGGAATGGGAGCGGAGGAAGGGGAGGCACGGCGGAAACAGCTGGAACAGGATGAAGAACAAGGGAAGAGGCTGGAAGACCTGATACACAGGTACACCAACGGACACCACAGAGACACTCGCTGTGGGGCTTTGTTTCATTTTTATGCTATTCTCGACACACTGCACAGATGGGAGTTTACAGAGTAACAATAGCAAACGTTGTCACCTTATTTTTTTTTACTATGCATCTGCTTTTCTTCCCCCAGTCTTAAATCTCCTCACTTCTGGCACACATTAACATCCTGTCCACGTGGTCCAAATTGGAAATACTAAAAAAAATACAAAACAATGAGACTTCAGCCAGCTTTTTCCACTTTTCCACTGATTAGAAAACAAGAGATACAGTATGCGTCACACGTGATAGCACAACCAAGAGCTGGGACACTTAAAGCTGCAAAGGGGAAATGCAGATAGCTATATATCAAACTCTGAACAATAGTATTCTTTAATTACATCAGCTATATTTGAAGCATCAAACCAAAGTCCCAGTTTGGAGCTCTAATTTAGTGAGGCTATATGAGGCTCAGCACCAACACACTCATACTGTACAGCGGTTAAAGTATGCACTCACACTCACCGTAACTGGAGAAGTATCGGGGGTGTGGGATTCTGTAACCTAAGAGCAAAATCTACATTTTTCTCGTGCTTTGATGTGAAAACAGACACCAAGAGCTGCTGCACATATACGTATCTACTCTAAAAACAGATAACACAAGAGCTGACAATGTATGGAGGAAGAGAAGAATAGATGGAAGAGTTGGAGGAAAGAAAGAGGGAAACTCACAAAGCAGAAACAGAAAGATAGAACAAGTGAAAGCAGGGCGTAATTGCTTGAGGAAGAGAGTGAGAAGGTAGAAAAAGGGGCGAAAAAAGAGTGTGTGATGTGATTCTGTGGGCACTTCCTGCGTTTGTGTCTCTGGGAGGAGCTTCCTGATTCCCATCAAGCATTGCTGTTAGATAGTCACTTACTCCCCAATGAATTTGGGGCATGAGATCATCAGTGCTATGAATAAAGTGGCAGCTGGCTCTTGCCATCGTGATGCTGTGTATACCGGGCTGCGAGCGTTTTCCATTCGCAGGGTGTGAGAATTAGACAGGGCCGCACCTTGTCCTCTCTGAGACAGGACAAGCATTTTGGAATCATGTTTTTTTTTTTTTTTTTTTTTTTTTTTAAGGAGCTGTCCGCAAGCAGTACGCTAGAGAAGATTTATTAGATTTTTCCTGAAGTGGTGATTTAACACTTTATGTGTATTGGGACCCAAAGTAAAAATGCACAGTTGGCAAATATAGTTTTCCATAGAGATGAGACTGAACTGTATCTCACATTCCTACATCAACAGTGTTTCTTTGTTTGCATGCCTTTATGTGCTGAAAAAGAGCTTAGACGTTTGATAGGCCCAGCAAAGATGCTGACTTTGCCTCTTTGCATGCATCTACAATAGCGTGGACAAGAACGCCCTTGAAAAGTATCTGAGGAAAGTAAAAGTGCAGGGGCAAAAAGGAAAAGCCTTAAAATGGGATTTTTTTTCCTCAGTGTGTTTTAGGAAAGCCAAATACCAAAAGAGAACAAATAGAACACAGCCTAAAGCAGCAGAAACTGCAGCAAAGAGTAGAGGAACATATTAGACAGACGCATACTGCTGCATCGCCAAAAAGTAAAATAAAAAAAAGGATAGTGGAGTGGAAGTAGAAAAGCTCAAACTAGTCAGCCAAGCATGCAGTGTATTATTTGATGATTTATTATTTCATAGTTCATGTGTGAGCGATGGAGATCAGAGCGCGGTCAGAAAAGGAGGCTTGTGGAGAGGCTCCGGGTCAATTTGGCATCGGTGAGTCAGGCTCCACCTCCTCATCTATCAAATCTCTGCATGAAAGAGTCTCTGTTAGCCAGCAGCTACCGTAGCTTATCACAGCCGCTGAAATAACATCAGCATCGTACGTTGCCACGAACACCAGGATAACATTTAGCTCCGGCATAAACAGAACAGCAGTGAATGGTCAAAGAGAGAGCATTGTAGCCAAAAGTACAGTTGTGATTGTGGAACCGCTTTGTGTGAATCACTTCATTCAGCTGCTGTTGAATAGACTTGTTGTCTGATACTCTGTTTCAAAGAGGAGATATTGCAGTTGCTTACAAAAGCAATTAAAACCACAAAGATAACGCTTTACTGTGCTACACTGGCATGTGTTTTTGGTCTGGTTTGACTTTTTTTCCCCCCCAGCGTTCAGAGTGCAGCCAATTCCGGCTTTATTTAGTTCCACAGTATGCCACAACAAACAGGAAGAAGAAAACCAAAGCAGTATCTCAAGGATGAATACATTCTGTATTTTCAAAACTCAGTGCCATAAGTTAAATGCTCAGTTTGCACAACCACAGCTAGTTCCCAAATCAGCCAAGATGAGTCAGAAAAATCACGAATGGCTTTTCTTTTCCAGGCTGCCAGGAAGTTTCTGACTAGGTGAAGTACTTGGATGCTTTGTGACGTGTCCCTTGTTTTATTTTAGGCACAATGTAAGTAATTGTAAACGTTCCTTTACTTTTGCATATTCAGTCAATATACCAGTACCATATATTACCATCTAGAACCCTACCCTCTCCACACAACCAAAGTTTAGCATTGAATGGAACAAAGCTTGTTTATATGCAAGCTATGCTGCAGAAGCAGTTCTCAAGCAATTACCATTGTGAACCAGGGTCTCAGATGTGCGCTGGAAATTGCTTTAAGAGGAGCTCAGCTGTCTGGGATTCAATTCTCGAGGCTTTCAGAAAACATTCTTCTCCAGTGGGTAAAATAAAGTCACAGAGCGTGGGAGTCTAAGGAGTGCCTTCAGTCACGCAAATCTTAAACTTGAAACCCTGTAACAACACTATTTAACTAAATTACCACAAAACGTCAACCTTAAGTCTAAATTATGAAAAACCTTTAAAAACTGTCTTTCATTTAGGTGTGATGTCATGCTGTGATAATGGGGGATATTTCTATTTAGATGTTTTGAACAGGACAGGACACTAATAGACAGCCCACACCTATGTCTGATGTGTGTGTGTATGTGTGTGCATTTCAGGCAGAGGGTGTGGCATCTATATTTGCACTCTGTGGGACACCATCCCAGAATATCCCGTAACCCAGGCAACCTGAGTCTTTCCACCACTGATAGGGACAGAGGTGAATAGCTGGGACAAATATGGATATAGCTTTATCTGTGTGTGTGTGAGAGAGAGAGAGAGAGAGAGAGAGAGAGAGAGAGAGAGAGAGAGAGAGAGAGGGCTATAATCATGAATAAGCCTGATTCCTCACCTTCTTCCACCTCTAAACATTTCTGAAATGGACTCCACCGTCTTGTAACCAAAAGCACAGAAGCCCAGACATCTTGTCCGTCCTACTTTAATGGCTGCTAGACTAATAACCCATGCACTGGTGGACATTTTAATGACAGAAAGCAACAAAGACAAAAGCAGCAGCCCTTTTATAGATGCTTGTATCGTTTCATGCACTGGAGAACCCATAAACCAGAGTGAAAGAAAGAGGAGGAACAGCTATATCGGTCTGCGAAGAACAACTCCATTGCTACTGAGCTTTAAATGCATGAAGAAAAAACAGAAAAGAAGCAAGAAAGAACAAGCGTCCCTTCAGATTATCCATACTTATGCAGACTTAATGGAAAACACATTGTAGAAAACAAAACACAAAGACGTAAGGACGACAGCAGTGTCTTTGTGTGGTGTCGTAAGAGCTGCCTGCTGTTGACCTTAAACTGGAAATCACATAAAGTGACGGGGAAAAAGAGCGAACAGTGCAATCTTTGTACGGGCTACTTCATACACATACCTACGGTCATTGGGCACAGACAGAGAGAAAGAAAAAGGAGAGAGGTAACATAGAGGCAGTTTGTGTGGTAGTTTCCCCTGTTGTAACCAAACGAAATAGCAGCCATTGTGTGCAGGAGAAGACGCTTACTTTGCAGAGCCTGGAGAACAAACAGACAGAGGGAGACAGAATGAGAGAGTGTGGCGGCAGCAGTGGTAGTTGTACAGATATCCCTATCATTACACGGACAGGCTAAGTAAACAGAGAGAGGGATACAGCAGCAATAGGCCCTTTCACAATGTGGCACTGGCCCCGACGCGTACCCACACCGTGCTACTTTTGGATTATTGCTTGTTTCATGTTGCGCAGACAGCCCTATGCAGATGTAGCCATCATTGCAGGCGAGCAGTGCGGTTTTTATACTGCGTTTCCTCCCACAGACAAGTTTCTCAACTTGTTCGAGATTTTCTTACCTGTCTTTTCAGAAATCAGAGAGTGTAGTATCATTTAAGATTATAAGATATATAATATATAATAAGAGTTTGTATTTAAGTTCTGTTATATTTTGCAGCATTGAGGAGAAGTAGGCCACTGCAGCAAGATGAGCCCGTGCATCTGCAATACTGTATACCTAACCTCTTTATGTGTTTACCTTTTCTTAACATATACTTACAGTGTATGTATTTTATATTACGTTACCCCAATCTAAGTAACTAAGTTAGTAGGGACTACTTTCCACTCTAACAGTCTACTATAATGTGTGTTAAGTATGAAGCTACAGCCAGCATGTAGTTATTATAGCACAAAGACCGGAAACGGGCAAACAGCTAGCTCAGTTCGGTCCAAAAGTAACAAAAATCCACCTTCCAGCACCTCCAAAGTGCACTACTTTTACACAATATATGTAGTTTGTTTAATCCGTACAAAAACCGACATGTAAAAACGTCACATCGCAATTTCTTAGCTGGGACACAGTAGCTTCCTGGAGTCTCTGCTGGTTACCTGGCAACCTCAAGGTGTAGATGAGACTTACTTACAGAGCCTAGCTGTTTCCCCTTGTACACAGTTTTCATGCTAAGCTGAGCTAACCAGCTGCTGGATGTATCTATTTTCTCATCTAACTCTCATTAGGAAAGCAAAGTCCCCAAGATGCCAAGCTATTCCTTAAAATGTATTTGTAACATATTTACCCATTCACACAATGTTTTCTTTTCTTTTGTCCTGTTTGTGTAGGCTCTCTG